GAATTTAGGCCAACATGGTTTTGATTCCTCCTAGCCAGCCAACTAGATGTGCCCGTCTATGCCTTAAATGGGATGGGGAGCTAGGTACCAAGTGATGGGGTTTAGGTGTAGATGTATACTGCATCAGCTTGGTGTTTTAATTTTATTTTTATTTTCTCAAGTTGGACTTAGAGGTATTTTATTGGTTAGTTTGATTCGGTAATTGTTTCGAGGCGTGAAATGTAAACTATGCGTCCAATGAAATGATATCTAGTCTTAGTAACTAAAACATGAATAAATCTAGACCGAAGTAGTGAGTGATTAGAGCGGAGCATATAGACAATAGTCTCAGTCTAAAATCCCCTAATTTTTGCTCATTACCAAGCTAAACCTTTTGCATTTTAACGTATTAACGTATTGTCTTATTAACGTAAACGTATTGGTATCGTATAGTCAGCCTAGAGGAGACCGACTTTTACATATTTTCAAGTTTATATACGCTATCGATATTATGACGAAAGAAGATAATAAGGCAGCGAATGTAGCTAAGGCTACAAACGTGAAAGGGTTTACTGTAGGCGAAGAAAAGCAGAAAAGACACCCGGCACCATCAGCGGAAGCTAAAGCAACTGAGATCACGCCGGTACAACCGGTACCAACTCTGACTAAACGGAAACGTAAGTAGTTGATTGACTCGGGTGTAAGTGCATCCGGAGGTAATGTGACTACGGAGCAACAGAAGCCACCAGCGAAGAAGGCGAAATCTCGAAAGGGAAAAGCCGAGAAAACGCAATCCTCGGAAAATTCAACTTCAGAGGAAATGCGACATGCATTGGAGTCTGATGTATCATCCCCACCAGTAAACACGCGCACAGCACGTTGGCAAAATCCTACTTATCATTGTAAGATTCGGTCTCTCAAGGCGATATTAACGCCTTAGAATAAATAAACGCGTAGGTAAATTCGAAGTATCGTGAAAATTTAGTTACATCGACGGGACCAGGCGTGAAGGTAGTCATTTTCTTCAACTTTTTCGAAGTTGAGATGACGTGGTAAAAGTATGAATCCGTACAGTGTTCAACAGCAGCGAGATAAACTTTGCACTAGACCGGTGGCGCTCATTTATCTTTATACCTTTCTAGAGTAGAGATGCTTTCCTCTTGTACAGTAGTACATCAGTACAGCGCAGCAGCGCACATCTTTGAAGCGTGGAACAGGCCGGGATGGACACTGTGGTCGACCTGGACCGGACGTCCGGACCCTCTTTGTCTTTATAAATACTTGAGAGTTGAGACTTGAGAGTGACCTGTTATTGTTTATTTTTTGACAAAGGGAGTAGCCGGCTCGCAGACTCGCACTGACTTGAAAAATCCACACTTTCGCTGTCGCAGAGCCGCAGTCTCGCAGACTCGCAAGTCGCAGCTCGCAGACTGCCAAAGACCCAGGGACAGAGACGCACAGTGCCTCAAGCCCTCACTTGTTTCCACTTCACTGACTTCAGGCCTTCAACCGCCCTGGGCTCCGGGACCGGGGGCCGGGGCTGGGAATCGACTGGGAGTCTGGGAGTCTGTACTCTCTAAAGAGAGACTCTCTAGAGACTCTAGGTAAATAAATAGAGGTAACTAAAGACTGGGACCTCTGTTAGCCAATCAGTCAATCACACCGTGTCTAATTGAAAGAAATTTTTATAATATATATAAAATCTGTTCAAACCTTTTGTCCAGACTCCAGACTCAGAGAGGAATGATTTTTATTTATTTTATATCTATTTTTAACACTGATGAAAGTGTCAGCTGGAAGTCTCTGTCGCCTTTATGCTTGATTGGCTGACTATGGCACTCTCTTTGACCCATTTGCAGACCCGGTCCCTCCTGTGACCCCTCTCTCTCGCTAGAGAGAGGGCAGACCTCATTACGTTTCCCGTTTAAACGCAAAGAATAATAATAAGCGTTTACGTTCAAAGTTTTTCCTAAATATAGTCCTGGGCGGCCTAACTGTCACGAATTATCTTATTTTTCACTTTTTGTCAGTTGTGAACAGTTTCATATCGCCTTTTCATTAAAAAAGGTCAATTTCTCGGGTGCAGATTTGGAAAATTTCCACGGTCGATTTGCCCCCGATATACTTCAAAACGCTTTTATTAAAAAAAAACAAAAACTTTTGCGTTTACATTTAACGTTTATCGCATATAGGCAAAGCGTATTGAGCTTAGCCTCTAGAGGAGAGGGATCCTAAATGGAATTGTTTTTTTATACATCAGTAATTAAAAAAAAAAAGGGATTTTTCATATTTCTGTTCTTGAAAAAGAAAAAAAACCAAATATAAAAAAATATAGCAGTCAGGCTGACTCATCAGGCACAGCCCTAAATTATACAAGTCAGGCTATCTCTGGTTATCTCTCGGTGGATCATAAGTTCAATAGCCGTAGTTGCTAAAAAAGTTCAACATATATTGCATTTCATGTGTATTTTTAAATCCTGAGTACTTCGGTGGCATGTACAATTGTCTATTTTAGCGCGAGTCTCACATATAGCGTCGCAGAGGAAATTATGCGCGTACATTAAAAGAAACATAGCTCAATGGCCACGAATTTATCACAGGGGACTTACACGCCCCTCCACAATGATCCAAATGATGATCGTGCTGAATCCTCGAGTACCGTCCGGCACTGTGAAGCAGGAGTGGTTTGGAGGGATGTTATTGCCTTCTGGATATTTGGACTGTGCAACAACTATCCTTATGTGATTATGTTGTCAGCCGCCACATACATCTTAGAGAAAGAGGAAGGCACCAGTAAGTATGAAGGGAGATACAGTATTGAATCCTTGCCGCAACTTATATTCTTCTATACTCCAGTTTATTTTTCGCACATATTCGAGTGCCCCCTGCATTATTCAATCTGAGTGCATTCGGATACAAAGTCATTCATTCCTCACTTATAATACGCTTTGATATACATTGCCTCTACAAATGGTCAGTATACCTTAAAGATGACCATACGCAAGCTTATTACGTGCCATATCAGAGCACAAAATCTCCCTCCATTTGGGTTGGATACCAAATACTTCATATATATATATATATATATATATATATATATTCGTGTGTGTATGTACGTATGTATGTATGTATGAATATATGCTTGTGTGTGTATGGATGTAGGTATGTGGGTATATATATATATATATATATATATATATATATATATATATATATATATATATATATACACATACATGTATATATATTTGTATTTGTATATATATACATATTTGTATTTGTATTTGTATTTGTATATATATATATATATTTGCATATATATATATATATATCTATATATATATATATATATATATATATATAAGTATATGTATAGTATATCATCTGGTGGTTTCTCAACTATGGGATTCTGCACAATCCCTCAGGCGCAAATTGCACTCTAATACGAATCTCGTTTGGTCTGTTCATTGATTCAACCCCTATTCTACACGACAGGCACCGGAGTTATTCTGTTGGCCGATATTCTTCCGACACTCACCATCAAGCTCAGTGCGCCTTTCTTCATGCATTTGCTGCCGTATTCCCTGGTTAGTGTAGTATACCAGCTGGCGCTTTTGGTTTGTGTATCTGAAATAAATCGCAGTTCAAGTTCTATTGTAGATTTGAATCATGTTATATCTATTGATCTCAAAATTTCTGTTTTGTTTTATGATTTGAGTGGTCTTGTCGGTTGGACCGACTATGTTTTCGCGCCATGGTAGAGGATTCTATTTTCTCTATTCAGCTGTGTATCAAAGTTAGATACATCATCTCTGATGACTCAATTCTATCGCAGGCTACCAAGAAGTGCTCAACTCTAAAAACAGAGGATCGTCCAGATAGCTCATTCTTTTCACTATCGGAGTGCTCTGCACTGACTCGCTTTGCATATGAGGGTTCCATTGCAGTACATCATATACATTGTCATTGGCACAATGCACCAGTTCATCCTTTCGCTCCGAACCCACACACGCAGACACACAAATACACACAAATACACACATATACATATACACACACACGATCAAGCATTTCACTTTAGTCGGCAAATATCGTGATCCCAGGTCGTGCACAGTGTAACATACAGTTGCCCTCTTAGACGATATATCTTCGTCCTTCGAATCGTAGCGTAGCACAGCATCATGCGTAAGACATCTTGTACATACACATCCTCGCACTTGACCGAATCAAATCCGGTGTTATTTTGTATAAACATTTTTCGCAAATATTACAGACATACCTTCCATTCCCATATTCGTGCTATCGTGATTCTAATTTCGTGACAGTCCTTAACTCTGTTGTATCGTTTACTCCTCCGCTGGTCTCACGCAGAAAGTTGGCGTCGTCATTGCCACGTGCTACATGTCCTTCATTCTAGTGGCCTATTCGTCGCCTCTGCTGCTGAGGTTTGTCCCGTGAATGTTCTCTTTTCATTTCTCTTCCGGATAGAACTAGTATGTTTGCATATGTAAAAACTTTATATGCATTATACGTATGTGTATGTTTGGGTGCGCGTGTATGTGCAAGTTCCTTTGCAAAGCTGAAGCCATCACACATCTATACACAACTGCTCCATTTGTCTGTCGTATAAGCAGTATATCGATAAATAGAGTCCGTTACCCATCCCGCCGCAGTTTGTACAAGCACTCCTCCGACTACATAATCTGTGTGTATCCCCCTCATGTGCGGGCATCAAAATTATGGATTTTGCATTTATCAGCCTTCTTGTAGTAACAGTCATGTCCAGAGCGAGGCGCGTAACATTGATATACGTCAAGTGCTGTATCGAACAACCGATTTCCATTCCGAGTGTACTATCGCTGGAGATTTGTAAAATTTGTCAGATTTTCCTCAAGACTAGTCATGAGTGAAATGGAACTGAGAATGCAATGTCTGTATACATGTAACTCTATATTCTTCATACATGGAATATGTAAATATGGAACGCACGAGTATATAGTGCACAGCAATGGCTACTAAGGTGAAATTAGTGGAGTACACTGAACTGAATTTATCATTGGAATCCATATAGGCTCCTCTGTAATATATACAATCTATTTCCTACAGTGTGCTGGGAGTGTGCTTGGCCTCTTTCTCCTCGGGCTTTGGTGAAATCACGTACCTCTCTCTCACACATCACTATGACAAGGTAGGTAAGTGTCATAGTTGCGCACGTCAAGCACTCCGAAGGTCGTATTTTTATAGCGAAAGCACTACCATTTCCTGTCAGTTGAGAGCTTCAAACATACTCCGATATCTGAATTCTTATACTGTATGGCTGTGCGACTGGTTTCTTTTTCGCTTAACGGGTAACAGTCGACAGTATCGGCGTGGTCGTCAGGTACGGGAATGGCCGGTGCGGCCGGATCTCTTTCTTACTTGGCGCTGACATTGGTGATGCAGCCCAGAGAAGCGCTGCTTGTCATGGTGATCGTGCCTCTGATTATGACGATAACGTATGTTTGTATGGTTTGTGGGCTTCTGTGTGATCATGTACATATTGGTACTGTTGTCTCTCCCTGTGATTTCGTTGTAATCGAAGAGTGTACGTATTACGCTCGGCGCTACATATAAATAATACGCTACTAAATTGATCTCATTGATATATATTTGTATATATATATATATATATATATATATATATATAATAATATATATATATATAATAATAGTATATATATATATTGTTATATAT